CTTCTTTGAAAGCTAATGTTTACAAAATTTTGTATTACTAAGTAATGTTAGTTTGCTTACATATAAGCAGATTTCTCTCTTTTTCTCTCTTTGATCAACAAATAGATCACTTTTAGCTAGATTAAGAAGACGATTTGTATGCTTTGATAAGCTCACAAGATCACTTTTAATGAGATCAAGAAACTCTCTGTTCTGCCAATGATCAAACACGAAGGACTAGATCAGCCCAGTTTATCTGCTTTGCATATATGACAAATGATCTTACAATGAGAGATAACGAATTAATGGAAGGTGCTAAAGAGTAATAAGCCTACGAATTGGCTTGATCATGATCGGTCGGACTCTAAAGAAACGATCGTAGTTGTTACAGAGCTGATACAGCGTTTAAAGTTAATGCTGTTCGGAATTAGTGATCGCGAGCGATTCATAGCTAACAGCATGACAGCATTACCTGTAGAGCTGACAAGGAGGGCTTTGCCATACAGACTTTTTTTTGTAGTCCTTACTCTTAAGATGACAAATGATCTTACAATAAGAGATTACGAATTAATAACACGGAGCTAAAGAGTAATAAGCCTCTGAATTGGCGTGATCGTGATTAGTACGAATCTAAAGGTTATTTGATTAACCTGTGTGCTCCGATTTCCTTCAATTGGACTCTAAACAAACGATCGTAATTGTTACAGAGCGGATACAGTTTTTAAAGTTAATAGAGCTACGAATTAATGATCGCGATCGGTTCATGTCATTATAACCAGCATGACTGCATTAGCTGTAAAGCTGACATGGAGGACAAGGTCAGTCCAGTCTATCTGCTTGCATATAGACTTCTTTTTGCCGTTCAAACTCTTCAGATGACAAATGTTCCTACAATGAGAGATTAAGAATTAATGTCACGTAGCTAAAGAGTAATAAGCCTCTGAATTGGCGTGATCGTGATCTGTAGGAAGCTAAAGGATATTTGATTAACCTGCTTGCTCCGATTTCCTTCAATCGGGCTCTAAAGAAACGATCGTAATTGTTAAAGAGCTGGTACAGCTTTGAAAGTTAATGCAGCTCCGATTTGGTGATCGTGTATGGTTCATAGCTAACATGGAGTTTAAGGTAAATCATTTCTTTTAGATTTTTACTTCGATGAGCCCTTGAATTGATGATCTTGTTCGGTACTGAACGCCTACAAATCTGATAGTTATTCATTTTAACTAGTTTGGTTTGATTGTAATGGAATGAGCCTGCAAATTGGTGATCGTATTTGCTACAGACTTGAAACGGCTTAAGTTATCCCACAATGAGCTTCTGAATTGGCAATCGTGAGTTTCAAACAATCTCGACTAATATTACATCTAGTTGAAACCGATCTCTTAGCAGAGTATCAAGTAGCGTATTTACGATCAAAGACGTTCTTACTAGATCAATTAATGATCTACTGCGGAAAACGTTAGTAGTGTTAAGCTCTTTGCTGTAGTGATCGTGTACGATACAGATCATGGCGTGATTTTCTTTAACCAGCTTGATGTCCTGCAAAGAATCCGCAAATTTGTGATCGTATTTGGTAAAGTGTTGAAACGACTTAAAAGCTTAACTCAAATCCAAATTACTGATCGCTTTCTATTCAGTTGCTCAGTTCTCCCACAAGGAGTCCTTGAACTGGTGATCGTGATTTCTTTTCCTTCAATAAATGTAGTTTAAAACTTCGAAAATTCGAATAATATAACATCGAGTTGAGAACGATCTCTTTGCAGAGTTTCGAGTTGCGTTCAATTTCGGGTAATACTATATCAAGTAATGATCTACTGAGGTAATGATTAGAAGTGTTAAGCTGTTTACTCTGGTTATCGTGTATGCTACAGATCATGGTCTTAATGTTAGTTTTCATTATTTGTATACTTGCGTTTAATACGGTGAATTTCTTAAAATAATAGATTCAATTAAGAGAGATCTGCTTAGTTGCAAAAGGCGCAATTAAGCAGATTTTGATCTTGAGTTCGCTACGTTTCACGCGATCAAGTTCGCTTTATACTATTATAGATAAAGATCTGTTTACAGAATCTCGAATTGAGAAAGATACAAAAAGTTCTTTTGATCGTTTCGTTGCCGTTCGATCGCTTTTGAACACGTTCAATTTCGCTATCGAATAATTACAGTTTCGTTTCGCAGATTTTCGAGTTGAAAGAGTTGCAAATCGTTTAATCTTCAAGTCGCTTTAGATGTTAATAGGCACTAATCTCTCATACGTCTCCTTTGTTTATCGGAGTTGCGTATACAAGATCGTTTCGAGACAAATCTGTTGAAGATCCAGTTGAGGAAATTGCAAACAACTCTTTTGATTATGAGGCTTTTCAGATGTTTATATCAAGAGTTTTTGTGATCATCGTCGAGTGTTTAATATGATCAATGCTGCGGTCGAATTGAAAAAGATCAATTTAAAGCATATCGAGTTAAAGAATCAACTTCTGAAGTCGCTTTAGATGTTGATGCATTCTAATCATTCAAGTCCGGGCTATGAGTCACTCGTTTCTTAATATCAATGTTAGAGTAATACTAGAACGATCAAGTATAGATCTGCTTGTAGAGCCTCTAGTTGTGGCAACAAATATGTATGCCTAGCAGTTCTTTTAAACAATAAAATTATGGCCGGAATCGTTCAAGTATTTCATGGTATATCAAAGCCTATTTAAAATATGAGATTATAAATCAAACACTACCAAACTAATCCCAGGTAATGCAAGCGGTAAATACAAAATTCAATAAACATGCCATGTCGCAAACCAAGTAATAGATTTAATTCACCCAAAATAAGTCTGCTTTAAGATGAATCTTAAATTTTGATTATTTTGAGTCATTTTTCTATCAAAAACCACTCATTACTCGCATTTAAAAACAAAACTGTATACTCTCTCTTCGATTTTTTTGAAATTTTCGCTAGAATTTTTCTTATCAGTACTTGTGTTCTTTTTTTCTTATATTCGAATTTTGAGTGTACAATAAAAACAATAACAATAAAAAGAAATGAAAACAAAATCAAAAGACGTTGTTTTTTTCTGAATTTACTTCGTTCGCACTTACTGAATCATGGGGATTTTACACACAATTTAAAAATAAAGACAATTTTCTTTTTTTTTTTAATTTTAGTTGATGTAACAGTCTACAAAGTGTTATTGTTTGTTTGGAATATAATAAGTAGTTTTTAAATAATTGAAGTATAATAAATAAATATAAGATTTCTAAAAATAAAACATGATTCGGTATTTTTTTGTTAGTGTTTTAATTTCAAACAGATAAGATAGATTTATATGTATATTTTAAGAAATTATACAAAATTTTGTAAGAAGTCATAAAGAGTAAATGTTAAAAACAAATTATGTTTAAATCTGGGTTTTTGTCTTAGCTAAACTTTAATGATCATTTCTTTATTTGCCATAAAACTCTACTGTTGTATTAACACCTCTGGAACGTTGACTTTTTAAAATGACTATGTCGGAACTATAACGTTCATTAACTTTCTTTAAGGGTATGGTATGTGTGGCCACAGCACCGGAACTATTGGTAAAATGATCGAACACATAAATGGCTGTTACATTTTTGGCTTTGATCTTGGAACCCTTAATTTCGAAATGTATTAAATTTGTTTCTGTGAAATTTTTAAAGCTAACTTACAACTTTCGGATAAACCACATATATTTCCTGTATGAAATCTTTAATGGGAAAACGTATCACATGTTCACGATATAACAAATGATCGGTAGTAGAGTTGCGCCTACCCCATGCTATAGATCTGGCCCCAGTTACAACGATCAATGTTAGAATAAAACAAAAACTTAAAAGAAAACGCATTTTGTTTTAGAATGCAACACTTGGTTAAAGAAATTTTTAAATCTAATGTTTCTTTAAGAAGATGTATAGATGAACTGAGGTTTCCGATACGATTGCTTTTTGTAATAAGTGTGAAAAAAACTGTATTGTGGTTTAATGGATTTTCCATAAATTGTTAAGAATAGTTCTTGGTATTAAAGTCAATAGTTATAAGTTTTAAAATGTACATGTGCATCAGTCCCGCGCCGTCAGTTTCATACATTCATTATAGGAAAATACTAGAGCGAATTCAGATAATAAGCTCAATATCTGATCGGTAGTTGAGGTATGTTTCTTAGATGTTGATGGACCCTAATCATTCCATTGTCTTCCTGTCAATGTTGCGTTATAAAAGATCGAGTTGTAATCTATATATCTGCATGTACGAGTCGGTCATTCCATGAGATCATAATACTAGCATTTGATAAAGCTGCAAAGAACTCGTTTCATCAAGTTGATATAGATGTCTTATCATCCACATATCTTGCGATGAATGTTGCGTATTAATAGATCGAGTTGAGACAGATCTTCCACGCCTATTAGTCGTACGTTTCTTACGATCAATATCGCGCAATACTAAAACACATTAAGGCGTTCAGAAAGGTGCAAAGAGAACGTTTGCTATTCAAATGGCTTTATACGTTAATGGATTCATTCCTGGTTTGCGATCAGTGATGAGTGATGATTAATCGATCGAGTTGAGACAGAAATCCACGCATTTTAACAGATAATTTTTTACGAACAGTATCAGTATGGATTCATTCCTAATTTACGATCAATAATAGGTATTAATCAGTCGAGTTAAAACAGAAAATCCACGCCTTTGATTAGATCATTTCCTACGATCAGTATCAATATGTTTGCATTCCTGGTTTGCGATCAGTGATGAGTATTAGTAGATCGAGTTGAGACAGCAATCCACGCCTTTGAGTAGATCATTTCATACGATCAGTATCAGTATGGATGCAATATTGGATAGATCATGTTGAGACAGAAATCCACGCCTATAAGTAGATCATATCTTACGATCAGTATGGATGCATTCCTAATTTACGATCAATAATGAGTATTAATCGGTCGAGTTGAAACAGAAATCCACTCCTTTGAGTAGATCATTTCTTAAGATAAGTAACAGTATGGATACAATAATGGTTTGCGATCAATGATGAGTATTAATCAATCGAGTTGAGACAGAAATCCACGTTTTTGAGTAGATCATTTCTTACGATCAGTATCAGTATGGATGCAATCCTGGTTTGCGATCAATGATGAGTGTTAATAGATCGAGTTGAGACAGAAATCCACTTCTTTGAGTAGATCATTTCTTACGATCAGTATCAGTATGGATGCATTCCTAGTTTGCGATCAATGATGAGTATTAATAGATCAAGTTGAAACAGAAATCCATGCCTTTGAGTAGATCATTTCTTACGATCAGTAGCAGTATGGATACATTTCTGGTTTGCGATCAATAATGATGAGTATTAATAGATCGAGTTGAGACAGAAATCTACGCCTTTAAGTAGATCATTTCTTATGAACAATATTTCGTAATACTGGATCGCATTAAGACAGATCTGTTGGCGTATTAAAGACCTTTTGATCTTAATTTCCAACGATCAGTATGGATGCAGTCCTGGTTTGCGATCAATGATGAGTATTAATCCATCGAGTTGAAACTCCTATGAGTAGATCATTTCGTACATTCAGTATCAGTATGGATGCATTTCTGGTTTGCGATCAATGATGAGTATTAATAGATCGAGTATAGATAGAAATCCTCGCCTTTAAATAAATAATTTCTTACGATCAGTATTTCGTAATAATGGAACGCATTTAGACAGATCTGTTTGCGTACTAAAGACCTTCTTTTGATCTTAAGAATTTTGTTTTGAAACTTTGAAATATAGATAGAATGGTGAAGAAACGATTTGCGTAAAAAACCCATTACATATAACCCTAGTCCCTATGTAAAGCCCACTTAAGGATATTCCTTTGACAAATTATAAAGTATTGCATAGTAATTGGTTTCGTAAAGTTAAGATTCAAATTTGATACAAAACTGAAGACATTTTTTTTAATTATTTTTGAAAATCAATATTTATTTAAATATTATTGGAAAATTAAAGAAATTCCCTTTCCTAACACTTCCAACATTTGCCATAAATTTCAACAGTAGAATTAATACCTCTTGAATTTTGACTTTTTAAAATAACCGTAGTTGTATTGTAAAGGACACCTTGGAGTCTTTGCAGCATTTGAATACGTTTGGGTACGGCACCAGAACTATTGGTAAAACGATCATAAACAAATACGGCCGTTACATTATATCTAGGATAGACATTCTAAACGCAGAAAAGACATGTATATATTGCAAGTCAGTCAATTACCGAAGTATATATATATTTTTTTTTAACTTACATGTCGTGGATAGGATACTTGAACCTCAATTACATGTTTTTTGATCGGAAAACGTACAATATTTTCGCGATACAATAAACGATCGTTATATTGACGTTTGCCCCATTTCCTGGATTTGCCCAAAGTTAAAGATGACAATGCCAAAATGAAATATAAACTTATAAGAAATTTCATTTTTTAAATTATATTTATTTCAATATTCCGATTTTAAAAATGATTTATAACTGTATGAAGAAGATAAAATCTTTCTTCTTTTATAGCGAGAAAAACAGCAGTAATCTTTATGTGGTTAAATGTATAATTTTATAGATTGTTAACTTCATACTACAACAATGAATTTTAAAATACATTTATTTTCTAGGTGTTGCTATAAATAGGACTAATGATTGATCCCATTCGATGAGTGATTGACTATTAAAAGGTTTGAAACCATTTTAAATGGTGAAATATCTTAAGTATTTTTTTCAAACAGAACACATTCATCGGATCTAGTCTATAGTCAAGTCTATAGTCAAGTCTATAGTCTAGTCTATAGTCTAGTCTATAGTCTAGTCTATAGTCAGTCTATAGTCTAGTCTATAGTCTAGTCTATAGTCTAGTCTATAGTCTAGTCTATAGTCTAGTCTATAGTCTAGTCTATAGTCTAGCCTATAGTCTATCTATAGTCTAGTCTATAGTCTAGTCTATAGTCTAGTCTATAGTCTAGCCTATAGTCTAGTCTATAGTCTAGCCTATAGTCTAGTCTATAGTCTAGCTATAGTCTAGCCTATAGTCTAGTCTATAGTCTAGTCTATAGTCTAGTCTATAGTCTAGTCCATAGTCTAGTCTATAGTCTAGTCTATAGTCTAGTCTATAGTCTAGTCTTATAGTCTAGTCTATAGTCTAGTCTATAGTCTAGTCTATAGTCTAGTCTATAGTCTAGTCTATAGTCTAGTCTATAGTCTAGTCTATAGTCTAGTCTATAGTCTAGTCTATAGTCTAGTCTATAGTCTAGTCTATAGTCTAGTCTATAGTCTAGTCTATAGTCTAGTCTATAGTCTAGTCTATAGTCTAGTCTATAGTCTAGTCTATAGTCTAGTCTATAGTCTAGTCTATAGTCTAGTCTATAGTCTAGTCTATAGTCTAGTCTATAGTCTAGACTATAGACTAGACTATAGACTAGACTATAGACTAGTCCATAGTCTAGTCTATAGTCTAGTCTATAGTCTAGTCTATAGTCTAGTCTATAGTCTAGTCTATAGTCTAGTCTATAGTCTAGTCTATAGTCTAGTCTATAGTCTAGTCTATAGTCTAGTCTATAGTCTAGTCTATAGTCTAGTCTATAGTCTAGTCTATAGTCTAGTCTATAGTCTAGTCTATAGTCTAGTCTAGTCTATAGTCTAGTCTATAGTCTAGTCTATAGTCTAGTCTATAGTCTAGTCTATAGTCTAGTCTATATTCTAGTCTATAGTCTAGTCTATAGTCTGTCTATAGTCTAGTCTATAGTCTAGTCTATAGACTTAGTCTATAGTCTAGTCTATAGTCTAGTCTATAGTCTAGCTATAGTCTAGTCGATCTATAGTCTAGTCTATAGTCTAGTCTATAATCTAGTCTATAGTCTAGTCTATAGTCTAGTCTATAGTCTAGTCTATAGTCTAGTCTTATAGTCTAGTCTATAGTCTAGTCCTATAGTCCTAGTCTATAGTCTAGTCTAAGTCTAGTCTATAGTCTAGTCTATAGCCTAGTCTATAGTCTAGTCTATAGTCTAGTCCTATAGTCTAGTCTATAGTCTAGTCTATAGTCTAGTCTATAGTCTAGTCTATAGTCTAGTCTATAGTCTAGTCTATAGTCTAGTCTATAGTATAGTCTATAGTCTAGTCTATAGTCTAGTCTATAGTCTAGTCTATAGTCTAGTCTATAGTCTAGTCTATAGTCTAGTCTATAGTCTAGTCTATAGTCTAGTCTATAGTCTAGTCTATAGTCTAGTCTATAGTCTAGTCTATAGTCTAGTCTAGTCTAGTCTAGTCTATAGTCTAGTCTATAGTCTAGTCTATAGTCTAGTCTAGTCGTCTATAGTCTAGTCTATAGTCTAGTCTATAGTCTAGTCTATAGTCTAGTCTATAGTCTAGTCTATAGTCTAGTCTATAGTCTAGTCTATAGTCTAGTCTATAGTCTAGTCTATAGTCTAGTCTATAGTCTAGTCTATAGTCTAGTCTATAGTCTAGTCTATAGTCTAGTCTATAGTCTAGTCTATAGTCTAGTCTATAGTCTAGTCTTTAGTCTAGTCTATAGTCTAGTCTATTGTCTAGTCTATAGTCTAGTCTATAGTCTAGTCTATAGTCTAGTCTATAGTCTAGTCTATAGTCTAGTCTATACTCTAGTCTATAGTCTAGTCTATAGTCTAGTCTATAGTCTAGTCTATAGTCTAGTCTATAGTCTAGTCTATAGTCTAGTCTATAGTCTAGTCTATAGTCTAGTCTATAGTCTAGTCTATAGTCTAGTCATAGTCTAGTCTAGTCTATAGTCTAGTCTAGTCTATAGTCTAGTCTAGTCTATAGTCTAGTCTATAGTCTAGTCTATAGTCTAGTCTATAGTCTAGTCTATAGTCTAGTCTATAGTCTAGTCTATAGTCTAGTCTATAGTCTAGTCTATAGTCTAGTCTTAAAAACAAAATTTATGAAAAATTTCCTTAAAAAAGAAAATGTATGAAAAATTTTTTTAAAAAAGAAAATTTATGAAAAATTTCTCTAAAAAGGAAAATTTATGAAAAATTTCTTTAAAAAAGAAAATTTTTTAAAAAATTCCTTTAATAGGAGAATTTTTAAAAAATTCCTTTAATAGGAGAATTTATAAAAAGATTCCTTTAAAAAGAAAATTTATGAAAAACTTCCTTTAAAAAGGAAATTTATAATTTTTTTTTAAAGAAAATTTATGAAAAAATTCTGCGAAGAAGAAAATTTATGAAAAAATTTCTTTTAATATAAAAATTTAAATATTTTCGTTATCAGGTTTATGTTTATTACAAAATTATTGAAATTGACAGCTTTTTTTAATAAATTAAACGATCAAGAAAAAAAAAATTCCACGAAAGATGTATTTTAAAATTTATTAATAAATTAAATCAATATTTAATTTCAGTCATACAAAGTTTTTTGTTCTTAATTATATAGATGTAGTGAAATAATTTGTATAACTGACCATAATTCGGTTGTGTAGAAAGGAGAAAAGAGTTCCCTTTATAATACAAATATTTAGTCTTTACCATAAAATTCCACAGTCGAGTTAATGCCCGCCGAACGTTGTCCTCTCAAAATAACCGTGGCCGAATCAAGACGACCTTCAAGATCCTTCTCCACACCATAAGCTAGTACTGGTACTGTAACCGTTGAATCTCTATTATAAACCCAAATGTCAACAATTTCTTCATTTGCAGCAGGTTCACCCTTAAATTATTGTCGTTAAAAAAAATTGCCTATTTTGCGTTAAATTTTAAAACACCATAACTTACATCTTTGGGATAGGCCACATAGACGTCTTGAGCAAAACCTTGTATGGGAGTACGAACCACATTTATACGATATAATAGTTTACTACCCACACCTTTACCCCACTTGACGGGATTGGCCTGTGATAAACAGGCCAATGTTAGGATTAAAACGAAATTTAGGAAAATTTTCATAATTTCTATTTATTGAGAGGAGATTAATGTTATTCTTAAACGCTGTTCCAGCCAACTGATTCGAAACCATGGATTTTCTTTTTATATATAGTGTTCATGATGTATATATGTTATGAATTCTGGTTTAAGATTGCAATTTTAATAAAGTCGGGATTTTCTTTAACAAAAAACCACACACACCTTCATATTTATTATCAGTTGTTGCTGATTTTTTGCTACAGTGGGTATAATAGTCCGCTATTATAAGGGACAAAATGTGTTTAGTCCGAAATTTTATAAATTATACTTATATTTAATTTTTCCGAGTTTTGTTATCGTCCTAAGTCTGTTTTCTGAATGTTTAAAAATTTTCACATATGGAGTTAATCTAATTCGCAAATAAACCAACCAATTATTATTTTTCTTTGCAAATAATGTTTGTTTGTGTTTTTTTAAGATTGAGAACGTGCTTTGCAGTTCAATGTTAGCTTTGTACTTCTACCTATATAAAATACATACAAACATATTGTAAACTAATCAACGTAAATTATAGTATTTTATGGGAAACCCCTTTTTTAACTAGAAATATGAATTATTCTTCAGAAATTGAATTTTCTATGAATTACATTTATTTGTAACAATTATTGCAAAAGCTTTAAAGATTCAGCTTTAAAACAATTTAGTTTTTAACAATATCGCCTGAAAAGCACAAGCTATTTCTAAATTGTTCCCTTTATTTTTATCGATAATGCAATAATTTGAAGGCCTTGACTATTTTATGGATTTATATATCAGGATAAGTCATATGTGTAACCGTCAAGGTTCAAGATTTTGTAAAATGCTACATACCAAAAGCCTTTATTGAGGCTTAGTGACTACTGACGATGAAAATCAGATCCGGTGAGTAACACAATTATTGCAAGAGAAAAGAGTCAACTTTAAAATAATTTAGTTTTTAACAAAATCGCCTGAAAAGCACAAGATTTTTGTAAATTGTTCCCTCTAAATTGTTCCCCCTTGAATATTTTATGGATTCGTATATCAGTCAAGTTTCAAGATTTTTGTTCAGTTCTAGTTCTGTTCTAGTTCAGTTCTAGTTCAGTTCTAGTTCAGTTCTAGTTCAGTTCTAGTTCAGTTCTAGTTCAGTTCTAGTTCAGTTCTAGTTCAGTTCTAGTTCAGTTCTAGTTCTAGTTCAGTTCTAGTTCTAGTTCAGTCTAGTCAGTTCTAGTTCTGTTCTAGTTCAGTTCTAGTTCAGTTCTAGTTCAGTTCTAGTTCAGTTCTAGTTCAGTTCTAGTTCAGTTGTAGTTCAGTTCTTGTTCAGTTCTGGTTCAGTTCTAGTTCAGTTCTAGTTCAATTCTAGTTCAGTCTAGTTCAGTTCTAGTTCAGTTCTAGTTCAGTTCTAGTTCAGTTCTAGTTCAGTTCTAGTTCAGTTCTAGTTCAGTTCTAGTTCAGTTCCAGTTCAGTTCAGTTCCAGTTCAGTTCTAGTTCAGTTCTAGTTCAGTTCTAGTTCAGTTCTAGTTTATTTCTAGTTCAGTTCAAGTTCTGTTCTAATTCAGTTCTAATTCAGTTCTAGTTCAGTTCCAGTTCCAGTTCAGTTCTAGTTCATTTCTAGTTCAGGTCTAGTTCAGTTCTAGTTCAGTTCTAGTTCAGTTCTAGTTCAGTTCTAGTTCAGTTCTAGTTCAGTTCTAGTTCAGTTCTAGTTCAGTTCTAGTTCAGTTCTAGTTCAGTTCTAGTTCAGTTCTAGTTCAGTTCTAGTTCAGTTCTAGTTCAGTTCTAGTTCAGTTCTAGTTCAGTTCTAGTTCAGTTCTAGTTCAGTTCTAGTTCAGTTCTAGTTCAGTTCTAGTTCAGTTCTAGTTCAGTTCTAGTTCAGTTCTAGTTCAGTTCTAGTTCAGTTCTAGTTCAGTTCTAGTTCAGTTCTAGTTCAGTTCTAGTTCAGTTCTAGTTCAGTTCTAGTTCTAGTTCAGTTCTAGTTCAGTTCTAGTTCAGTTCTAGTTCAGTTCTAGTTCAGTTCTAGTTCAGTTCTAGTTCAGTTCTAGTTCAGTTCTAGTTCAGTTCTAGTCCAGTTCTAGTTCAGTTCTAGTCCAGTTCTAGTTCAGTTCTAGTTCAGTTCTAGTTCAGTTCTAGTTCAGTTCTAGTTCAGTTCTCGTTCAGTTCTCGTTCAGTTCTAGTTCAGTTCTAGTTCAGTTCTAGTTCAGTTCTAGTTCAGTTCTAGTTCAGTTCTAGTTCAGTTCTAGTTCTAGTTTCAGTTCTAGTTCAGTTCTAGTTCAGTTCTAGTTCAGTTCTAGTTCAGTTCTAGTTCAGTTCTAGTTCAGTTCTAGTTCAGTTCTAGTTCAGTTCTAGTTCAGTTCAGTTCTAGTTCAGTTCTAGTTCAGTTCTAGTTCAGTTCTAGTTCAGTTCTAGTTCAGTTCTAGTTCAGTTCTAGTTCAGTTCTAGTTCAGTTCTAGTTCAGTTCTAGTTCAGTTCTAGTTCAGTTCTAGTTCAGTTCTTCCTTCCTTTTTGATTCATGCCTGGAAATTTGTATTAGTGTTTTTGTTTATTTTTTCACTATTTAATGGCAGATTAAAGAGTTATAAATAAAAAAATAAACATTGGTGGTAATTATAATATAAGATACTCCATGACTAATGCGGCACAAATAAAATAAAAGTAAAAATACTCAAAGGGTATTGCAAAAATTGCGTGCAAAAAAAATTCTAGAATAAAATTAGAAAAATGTTATGAAATGAAAGGCAGCTTTTTGAGAAGTAAAGAAAGGGAGTCATATTTGGCGATTCAAGTACGTAAAAGTAATACATCTACATACTGCGGAAAAGTTGGTGTTTTATGTCTGGCTATCTTTCTTAAAATTATTAAATTTAGTTCCGAATAAAAGAGATATAAAATTTCTTACTAAAATTTATTTCAAGTATCACTTTCAAATTCACAGAAGTCCTCGAAAATTGTAGAAATCTAATATTATAACTGTTAACAAAACTTTAGGGGTATTCAAAAAAGAGAGCAAATATAAACAAGCCTAATAATTTTCACACGATAATGCTTACATTAAAGTAAAGTTCCACTGAGTGTTTTCAAATTAAACCAAAAGACAAATTTCTCAGAAAAAAATCAGATCTTTAGCAACAAAACAACTTCACTTGAATAGCCCGGCTAATATTAGAAAAGTATAGATAAGCGACAATAAGTGTGTACGTATTACTGATTAAGAACAGAATAATATAAACAATATAAGTCCCAAAAAAAATCACCGTCTCTTTAATTAAATTGATATGATAATAATACCTATAGACTAAAATAATAATTCCCATATAGTTATCAATTTAATTCAAACAGTTCAAATCAAAGTGTTTGTTTTAGTATAAAAACATTTGCAATTTCCTTAAACAGCAGCAGTATTAGAAAAGCACTAAAAACCGCAGAACTCAACAGCAGCATGAAATTCTAATAACTTTCTGTTTGATTGCCTCTTTGGCCACAGTTGCCTGGACCAGCAGTGCCACATGGGGTAAACGTTATTCCAATGATTATCTTTTATATCGTGAAAATGTTGTACGTACACCCCTTAATGGTAATTACTGGAATGTTAATGTTGCTTTTCCCAAGTCGGTAAGTAGTCGCAGAAGTAAAATATTAAAGATTTGTGTGTAAAAAATTATTGTTTTTATTTTACTTTTAGGGTCAAGGTAATACCAGAAACATTACTGCCATTTATGTCTTTGATCGTTTTACCAACAGTTCTGGTGCCCAACCCGCTTTGTGGTCTGGTGGTCCCGGTTATAAATTTGCCACTGTCAATTTGAAGAGTCAATATTCGAGAGGTATTAACTCTACCGTTGAATTCTATGGCAGATAAATTAATGACGAATGTGATATTAGTTAATAATTAAATGGAAAATGTGAGAAAATAAATTGAAAAGCAAATACAAATTTTAAATTTTTATTATTTAATAATGAAGGAAAAGTTGTATGTGCTATATAAAGGTAGTTTTATATTCAGTAAAGTGGATATATCTCTGATTCTCCAGAACCAAGCGAGTAAACTAAATCAAACCCAAACTATTGTTCAATATATATTCCTTTACTTATTTTGTAGTTTGTCGCTTTAATTGTAGTTACAATCCCAAAGTCTTAGGAATGACTAATAGCATACAAATCAATATTACTAATACCCATAATAACCCCAACAACTTGCCGACTGGCCATTAAAAATACTTAGTAGACCAACTGACTAAATTTGATATCACTAACTGATAAACAAATTCTAAATGGATTAGATAAAAAATAACTACCAATATGTATAAAGGAAAATTAAAATTTTTTTTAATTGATAACAATATGGCCAATAAAACAATTAAAAAATACCCCTTTAAAAATATTAGCAAAAACAAATTTACCTGCAAATTATTAACAAAAACAAGACAAAGTAATAAATATTCCCATACAAATTAGAAAATTTCTATTGCCAACAAAACACCAGCAGCCATTTTACTCAGGATATTTACTCAGTTAAATAATAACAATATGATGAAAATACTGTATTGTTTTTGTGGCTCTATATGCCAAATAACGCCTTAGCCATTAGCAGGAGTTGCGAAAGGGGAAAAACATAATTCCACAGCTATTTTAGTACTAAACGAAGCTATTGTTGGCTCGACGAACTTTGCCAACATTTAGCTGCCGGCAAATGTTGTTTATCCCAAGAGTGTAAGTTAAGTTTGGTGACTTTTGTGACGGAGGTTGTGTCAGACATGGAAATTTAAAATTTTTTCTAATGAAAATCAGCAACAGAAACTAGAACAGAAGTAGAACAGAACTAGAACAGAAGTAGACCAAGAACTAGAACGAACTAGAACAGAACTGGAACAGAACTAGAACAGAAACTAGAACAGAACTAGAACAGAACTAGAACAGAACTAGAACGAACAAGAACTGAACTAGAACTGAACTAGAACTGAACTAGAACTGAACTAGAACTGAACTAGAACTGAACTAGAACTGAACTAAAACTGAACTAGAACTCAACTAGAACTGAAACAAGAACTGAACTAGAACTGAGCTAGAACTGAGCTAGAACTGAACTAGAACTGCACTAG